ACGCCCTTGGCCATGCAATCCGTATCCTGCTCGCCTACGCCCATCGCCAAAATCTACGCCGAAGGACACAGCTTCCATCTCCACTAACTCCCAAGCGCCGCCAAACCCCGGAATACCAGCTCCTCCGACCGGTCATGGCATATCTGCAGCATAGCTCACATGTGCGATGGTTGGAGTCGTTGTTAAACGATATAAACCAAATTTTGAAGTCTGCTGGGATTCCGTCTGATTTCACAGCGACTCCCTTCTCGTCACTCAGTTTGCAACGTACCATCAGTGGGCTTCCAAAAGTAGAGACTCTGGTCCAAGAGTTTTTGTTGCCCTACGAGTCGACATTTTCTGCGCAAATGGCCACCCCTCAAAGCTCATTTCGGGTCAAGGTTCGTACCAACGTCACGACACCACCGCTCGGCACTCACTACGAAATTTCAGTCAACATGCCTCAGTATCCCGATGTCCGCCCGCCGAACCGCATCGGCTTGCAGGATGAGGCAGCCTCTGTACTCACGCATTTCGTGCTGCTGGATATCCTTACAGCCATCACTCACGCCAAGGGCTTATCCGTAAATGGTGTCAAGCAAGAGACAGGTAAACTGTTGACTTGGCAAGCAGCGTATCCACATAATGGCGAGTTACTCGCCCTCTCTAGCGCCGGCCAGTGCAAGAAAATGAAAGTGAGCTTATCGCGACATGAGCTAAGTGTGCGAACATACTCCATGCGGGGAATTGATGGGTTTGGCAAACCGGCTGCGGAAAAAACGCCGGCCATGCGCTCGCAGACATGGAAGTCCGATGGCACTCCCGGCCAGCCTAGCCTGATGGACTTTATCGCTGAAGTATCCAAGGAGTAATGCGAAGATACCAGTCAATCGAAGTGAGAGAGAACAAAACAACCGGACACCCCTCTGAAGAAGGGAGAATTCAAACTTCCTCTATTCATTGCATAAGCTCGCTAGGCTGGCACACTAATATACACAGATCTGGTTCGGCAACTCCATTCCAAGATGATATGCATTTGGTGACCTGGAACGCCGCTGTCATAGATAGTAGCATCAAGCATTCAACTCGAAAGATTCGATTGCGTGGTCCAGCGTCAGGGGCTCTTTCAGTCGTGTCTCATGAATCCCGTATGCCTTTGGCAAGCACGCACTCGTGTCTTTTCCCATCATTATCTTTGCCAACGCTTCTCCAGCCAGCAAGCAGTTGGCCATGCCATATCCATTAAATGCAGCAGCGACGTATTCCCCTTCGCCCTGCCGTCCTGTCATTGAGGTTTCCACACGTCCGACAACCGGAAGCCCGTCCGCGGAGAAGCCCATAATTCCACTCCACCCGCCGGCTAACCTCCACTGTTCCGCTCCCTTGTAGCCAAGGAACTGTGGCAGCTTCTCTTGTAAATGCCTGATGGAGCCTTCCTCGACCTGGCTGTCGTCCGATGATAAACAATGGTCGATTCGTGTGTCCTCTCCGCCGAAAAAGAAATACCCTGTTTTCGTGTTCTGCATGAGATAGTACAAGCCAGCGGCATACCTCCTGGACTCTTTGTCATAGATAACGGGATAATGGAAACCCCACGAGAGATCGCCACCGCGGTTGATCATGATATTGCCTGCGTCTTGCACTGTCATCGTTCCCTTGAAGGGATAGACTGGGCCACGGAGTCCCGGGAGTAAATGTCCTGCATGGCCATTGGTACAGTGCGCGATCTGAGTTGCGCGCAGGGTTCCTCGGGGTGTATGCAGGATATACGGGTGGGAAGGGTTCGTCGTATCGGAAACGATAGAAGTAACGGGAGTCTGCGTTTCAATATTCAACCTATGCCCGTACTTCTCCACGAGACAGGCAAAAATCTCTGTCACAAGCCGGTACGGCCAGATGGTCCCAGCAGGAAGCAGAGCACCCCCAGCGCCGTCCAGATGATACTCCCTCTAGACATGTTAGACGCCATGAAAACCATACCGACACTCAATCCAACCAAAGTACATACCTTTAACACCTCTCTATCAAGAACCGTATAAACCCCTTTAAAATCCGGTAAATCCCTCTCGAGAGCCTCCACACTCCTTCTAAACCTTTCAAACCCACGCTCTTCCAGAAAGACCCTCACCTTCACCAACTCCTGCACCTGACTCTCTTCTACTGCGAACCTCCGCACCAACTCCCTCATCCTCCGTAAATTCTCAAACGTAAACCGCACAATCTCCCCCGCACCCTCTCTTCCAAATTCTTCCACCAGATGCAAATACTCCTCCCCTGCATTCGCAGCCAATTGACCCCCATTCCGGCCCGTTGCACCCGAGCATAGTGACCTAGCCTCCAGAACCGTAATAGTAAGATCCGGATGATCATCTAGCAGAGTAATCAGTACAGAGAGACCGGTTATCCCGGAGCCAATGATCGCGACATCCGTCTTTCCCGGCAGGGAAGGGGACTGCGTATTGCTGAGAGGGTGTGGTGGGGTTTGCCAATACGAAGACGTTGGGTTGGGTTTCGGGAGGCCTGGGTCTTGGGTAAGGAGGGCTTTGAGGGCTGGAGATTGCATTTCGGGTTCGGTTGCTGGATTCGTTGTTGTTTTGTTCACGGTATGGGTTGTGCTGGGGATGAGGTTGTTATTTGGTGGCTATGTAACTTTTGTTCAAGAGGGGAGTGTGGGGTTGAGTTTATTGATAGGATGATAGGATAACTAAATCGTATGCGGGGAATTGATACGATATGATATCGGATCTCGGGTCTTGGATTCTTGGTAAATAGAGAGAGATGGGCTGGCTTGATGATCTCTGCTGCTTTTTTTGAGGGTATTCATTCTAGGTCCCAAATTGGATGCCTTGTAGGGCACGTGTCACTGTTGAACCCTGAGAGACGGATTTGGAAGGGTTATGATCCCTCTGATACTATCGTGGTTCTGGACGATGCGTATCTATCGTTGCTGTTTCTAGTGCAAATAGCTGGCTAGGATAGGGAAGTTTAGATGCTACTCGTAGGCACTTTGGTCAGGTTGTAAGATGGTAATTTCATGAGAATACTACGAGAACACTACCAACTTGAGAAACTATCATAAAAGATACAAATTCGAGAGCAATACACTTTAACAGCTCAGCCAACGAAATTAACCTTACTTTCACAATGCAGTTGGTGAAACATGATTGGTCCGCTCGAATATCCGAGGTTAAACATGGACGCGCCAACGTCACAGATCATACATACTGCATACTACTCACATCCATAGACAAGATCAAAAAAAGAAAATCAATATACACAATGCTACTCCGACGCACACCCTTCAGACCCCTCACACAATCTCTTCTATCAAGCAGAGCACACCTCTCAACCCGCACCAAGCCCCAAAAAAGCCTCCCAGCGGCCTACTACCGCGGCGGAACCTCCCGAGCCGTAATCTTCAAAACCGAAGACCTCCCCACCGACCGCTCAGCATGGGATGAGATCTTCCGCCGCGTAATCGGCAGTCCGGACCCCAATGGCCGACAACTGGACGGGCTCGGCGGCGGCATATCAAGCCTATCCAAGATATGCATAGTGGGCAAATCCACGACCCCGGATGTCGACATCGACTATACATTTGTCTCTCTCGGGGTCAAGAACACGCACGTCGACTACTCCAGTAATTGTGGGAACATGATTAGCGCAATTGGTCCCTTTGCGGTCGATTCAGGTCTATACCCTGTTAACCCCGATGGACATGAGGATGTCGAACTGCGCATCCTGAACACCAACACGGGGAAGGTCATCCGATCCCGGTTCCCCGTGGTGGAAGGCGAAGCTGCGGCCTCGGGTGACTTCGCCATCGATGGCGTTGCCGGCACCGCAGCGAAGATCCAGTTGGATTTCCTGGATCCCGCCGGGTCGAAGACGGGGAAGTTATTTCCCACGGGCAAGGTAGTTGATGAGTTTGACGGCGTGCGCACGACTTGTATTGACGTCAGTAATCCGTGTTGCTTCGTTCTTGCGTCCGAGCTAGGCGTGGAGGGGAATATCACGCCTGAGGAGATCGATGCCCATCCGACGCTTTTGGGTCGATTGGACTCCATCCGCAGACAGGCTGGTGTTGCCATGGGCCTTGCTGAGACGGCTGAGTCTGTGCCCGGCAGTGTACCGAAGATCGGACTTGTTGCTTCTCCGGCGTCGAATGCGCGGGCGTCAGAGCAGGGACAGACGGAGGCGGATGTGGATTTGCTGGTTCGGGCGCTGTCGGTGGGTCAGCCGCATAAGGCGGTGCCCATTACCGTTGCTTTGGCCTTGGCTGCTGCTGCTCAGGTGTCGGGGAGTGTTGTGGCCGGGGTGACGAGTGGGAAGGCGGTTGATCCGGCGGGGATTACGCTGGGTCATGCTAGCGGGAAGTTGGTTGTTGGGGCTGAGTTTGGGTCGGATGGGAGTTTGAGCCATGCCACTGTGTTTAGGACGGCGAGGAGGTTGATGGAGGGGAGGGTGTTTTGGAAGAGTTAGGGCTTTGTGGGAGTGTTCATGGGATACGGCGGGTATCTTGCGTTCTGTACATTATTATGCGTATGGCAGTGATAGTTCTGGTCATGTCTGATTGTTAGGGAGGAATGTTTTGAAGTTTCAGCATTAGAGACCTTCCTCAAGCTATCAACTACTGACTGGTTCATCTCTAGTTATGATGTTGAATGTAAAAAATGGATCAATTCAAGTTCAAAGTTCCGTCTCAACACCCTAGCTAAACGATCATACAAGAAAGATCCACACAGACAGCTATCGCATAAAAGCAAAGAGACAACAAAGTAAAGCAACGTCCCACAACACGTTGTCTGCAAAGGTCAGGGTGGGAACCGCACGCGGCCGATGGCCTGCAGCATACTACTCCCTCTGTTGCACCTTTGAGGCTCACCACATCTGGCAGTTGAAACAAAAATAGGAAAGGGACTGGAAATAACAAAGAGGTCTGTTGCATGTTTTGTATCGGAAAGGGTGACTGAAACCGCATCAAAGAGAAAGAATCTCACACATGTTCCCGTTATTCCGAGTTACTCATTCCCTTCATTCAGACTAGCTGAGCTCTTGTTGGAGGGAGGTTTCCTCTGATTCGGTTTCTTGCAAAGCTTCATCTGCACATACTTCTTGCGCTGCACCCATCTGATAATATTTTGACGCGTGTATTGTTCCTGAATCGAACGCTCTTGCTTCCAGTCACTCTTCTGCTTTCTCATATACTCTTCGTAGTACGCGTTCCCATTGCCTAAATCACGTAGTAACTGATCCCAAGTAGCAGTGTTGTCGGCATTTTCCCCATAGTAATTAACGATGTCTTCGATGGCCTTAAAGAAGACTGAGGCAGAATCGGTGTCGATATTGAGACACAACCGGAGAATCAAAGACTCAGTATGTCGTGCTAATGTGAGAACTTTTGCCGTGCTCTGTGTTCTGCCCACCCGAAGGGTGTCATTGTGATCTTCAGAAGAGCTTCTGGCATCACTGCCGGAAGAATTTGGCAGGCGGTCATCAGTCACAAGTACGTAGTTAGAGCTTTCAGGTTTAGCATTATTCGGTATCTGGGTAGGCAAGCCCGTGAAAAGTGTTGGCATTCTGTGAAGACTGATACTCGTCTCCACAGACCCAGGCTTGTCTTCTTTAAGGTGAAAATGGTGAGCAGGTAGAGGCTGCAGATAGCATGAATTTCCACTGTCGCACGGATGCAATGACGATCTATATAACTCGTGGATTTGTTTACATGCATCCTGTATCTTATGTTCGGAAACCGCTATTTCAACAATCCCTAATCCGGTGTGCTGTCAACTGTTAGCCTTTTGAACAGTTGGTATTTCTCGATGATCCGGGTCACTTATAGGAGGGGAGCGGAGCCCTAGATGGTAAAGCTGTGCGGTGCGGCCCCATATCACATTGTGAATGTCAAATCCATCGAGACGGCTTGCAATATCCTCAGCAATCTCACGCGTGTTCATTTTGGGCGGTTGGTGATAGACTATATTGGAGACTTGCTGGCAGATAGGAAAAGACTGGTTTCATCTGATGTCACGGTGGAGTGAAGGCCTTTAAGTACCATTTTCGACCTGAGTGTGGGATTTGCCAACAATCATCATGCTTCATGTTTTCTGGAAAATGACATGGGTACTTAGCAATATCTCAGTCATCTTTGTGGAAGTTGCCAGCGGCAATGGTTTCATCCACAAAGACCCGGGAGACACCAAAGCAAGCAGGGAAATTCCTTTGTCCGCATCGATGGCTTGAAGAAAATTGCCACAGAGATGGGTAGTCGAACACTGGAGGGTACTGGATTGTAGGCTCAATTTATAGAGAGTTACAGAGATAAATACTACGGTCCTTAACAGGCTTAAGAACCCGATTTCGTATTTTTCATAATGGATAGAGAGCTACGCGAGGAGGCTTTACCTCCTGACAGGACACCGTGTAAGCTTCAAAAGGCAGCTTACGAAGAAATGATTTAAGATATGTTGAACTTCCACCTTTTCCCCGACTTGTCATTTGGCCATCAAGATAAAGAAACTGAGAGATCCTGCTAAGAATCGGTAGTATTGAGCCTATCTCGACTGAACCGTTTTGCAATCGTGTGTACTAATCAGAACGCCCTGTAGTATCCTCCCCATGCTCTAAAAGCTTCTTGAAAACAGCAGACACCTCTGATCGCACTACTTCCCTCCGATTAAGCACCTCCAGACATACAAGATACCTCCGATCCAGCCCACTTTTTAGATCCTCCCATGGGTAGCTTTTTATGATCTGGCGCGTATAGTAATCCAAATCCTCCCTCTGTGCCACTCTCAGCTCCTCAGGTTCGCGCGAGCATATAGTGCGAGCTAATGCAATGAGTCTGGTCTCGATAAAGTGATGCAGTTTGAACATCCTCACACCTTGGAGACTGGATTCTCTCCCAGCCATATGCGTAGAGTAGAGATGAACGGTCACCGACTGGCTATGATGTGAGATAGACCAAGCCCGTGGAAGCACTGACATCGTATAGAGGTTCAGACTGATGCCTCCATCTGCATGGAAATGATAGTCGGGAATGCATGCGGAATGTTTGAAATGCTCGACCAGACAGCCCTTTGACATTTGCTGGTGTAAGCTTTTGTTGGGACATTCCTTGAAGTCCGAGCCCTGGAGCGCTTTGATCGCCTCTGGCAAATCTGACACGATCCACTCAATAACCTATGGCAACTCTTAGCTTTGAACGGCACGCAATTATTTTGTATGTACGTGGTGATATGCTCACCTTACAGGCCTTGAAATGCTCAACGTCCCCAGGGACATAGTCCTGATACGCAGTTGCTCCCCATGCGAAATTTGCGAATCCCGCAGGATTAAAAACGTTCGCAACCTTCTGGATTGAACCTACAGACATGTTTGCTCCTGAGGACTAATCAACTATTCTGTCTTAAACTAAGTAAAAGCGACGACACTTGACATTTAATACTTCCACTCGACACGCGATAAAACTTTGAACAGCTTATTCCTGGTAAGGATGTCGAGAATAGAAGGTCACTTTCTAATCATGTACGGTTTAACCCGGCAATACTGACTGAGCACAAGCAATGGATAATAGGGCCTTCCCACACATACCAGGATGAAGGCGACTTTAGCGGCAATGGCCACTATGATAGAAGTATTAGTGGCTGGTACCGTCTTTCATTCTGGACACAGGGAGATGCCAGAGCGCTTACAATGACCAGCAGGAGAACCCCTTTGTCTGACCAGGCAACTCACGGGCAAGCTGGCATGAACCAACCGGCCCGGGACTTTGAATCGATACTTCGCTCCAAAGCAAGGGCTGATAATGTGAAGATTACATATATAATATGAGAGCCGTGAAATTGAGGCTGAAAGTGACCACTATCGCAGCCGTTGGTGGCCGCATTGGCACCGCGACTCCCAATTTCTATGGGTTTTGCACCACTATTCTTCTTTCACTGTTGTTGTTCCATATCTACATCTTGCTCTCTAGTCCCTGAATTAGTTTATCATATCGCGAATAGTGTAAAAGGAGTATTTCTTTCTGATTGTTTAACCTGGTTTTCTCGATGATATCCCCCCTTGTTCTTTCTTCTAAATCTGAAAAGTATTTAAGATAATGAGACAGACGAATCCTAAATAGATCCCATGTCGAGTATAGTTCCTGCAGCTAGCATAGCTACTTCTAGTGCTGCAGCAGCCTACTGGCCCAGTACCTCTGAATAGAGAAAATCTCAGCTACATCATCTATTGGGAGAGTTATATTAGATTTACAGGTCATTATCGTTGTTTCGTAAGTCACAATATCCTAGGTAACATAGTTTTTACATGTACTTCTAGTACTTTAGCAGCACAATGAACAAATAGGAAAACCTCATATTAAGGTAAAATTAAACATTATGTTCCGATAGTAGCATGTTGAATGCTGGAAACCAAACCAAACCCTTTGCCATCAGATTAGTGCACTCGCCTCTGCTTCGGCGTTCCACACGAATGTCGATCAGAGGAGAGAGCTTGCCCTTATTTGCGTCTTTTTGGCCTCAAAGCTCTCGTCACATCCTCAATGCACTTCTCGAACTTGGCCCTGTGGGATTCCTTGTCTCTGTTGTCGGTAACCAGGTACAAAGCCTTCCAATTGTTCAGCCAAGGTACTAGTTCCTGATCAACTTCCTTCATTATCTGGTTCCAGGATAAGGTATGCCCTCGTCTGGGGTCATCCTGATTGTGACGGTACAGCCAGACTATGGCATTTAGGTAAACAAACCAAAGCCAAGCGTCCTTGATACAGTCGGCGCGCTTCGATTCATAACTGCGCTTGATCCCATTATCTTTGGCGTTATCGATAGCTTTATCAAGTTTATAAATGGACTTGACAGCCTGGTAAAACTGGTAGCCGCAGGACGAGATCGCTCGAACCAGCAATGGAGCTTTCACCCCATAGAATCTAACTCGACGACCACACTGTGGACCCAGCGAATCTTTGAATTGTGGCAGCGTTTCAATAAGAGGCGCAAATTGGAAATTTGGTCTGTCCAGGAGAGGGACCCTCGTGTCTGACAAAAGCATGTAGTTTCTATCGCGGGATTCTAGTTCTCCAAGAACAGGTTCACGTAAAAACCTGAAATGTGTCGAGTGCTTGTAAAGGTCGACGCGACCTATACCCCCTCTGTAGTGTAGGTGGACGTCAGGCTTAGGTCCGCTTCCCTTAGAGAACTCCTCTTCACAAGCTCTTTTAGTCCTGCAATCTAAGAACCTATCGTCCCGAAGGGCCCTAAATGCGGCTTGAAGGTCTTTGTCACGGATCACTATCTCCGAGTTCTGCTCAAGGGTTAGTACTTAATACTAGTAGTTCGTGGCATAGATGCATGTTTTACTCACTGGAGAAAGTGGTGCAAGGTAGTGACAGCTCAGTATGGTTGCGTGAGATACATAGCTAGGGATGCCCCTACTTGCAAGCCCGTCTGCTATGTAAGAGTCTGAGGAGTAATCGCGCTTGTCGACCCAGTTTTTGGCCACCCGTGGCTCCATTTTGCTAACTTTGGGGGCCTGCATCTTGCAGCTGTAGCACTGGAACGTGGTGATTTAGTACTGTTGATTGCTACTTTCTACGTGAAGAAGGACGTCCAATATATACACAACCTTCCGGTATTGACCGAAGATGTATTAACACAGGTCTTACACATCTAACAGTGTTTATTCGGATATGACCAGCTCTACATAAAGTGCCACTCATGGCTTGTGGCACAGTAATTGATCGAGTTATGGGACACAGCGATATAAGGGCGCTCTCCTCTGAAAAGAACACAAGAATTTTGCTTGCAACTGCCTATCAGTCCGAATTCAAATAGAGGAATATTACTTGCTCCAGAAATCTCGCTCTTCTCCGCTGTGACTAAAATGAGATCAGATGACCTGAATACATAGGGTTTCGAGATTGTACAGACAGGAAACGCAGCTTTTTCCCTGGTTTTGTACCGCATTAAAAAGTTTTGTTTGTCGATCTGGTCCTTTGTTGAACCTGGCATCTACATGCATGAATCAACAAAACATGAGCATGGCGAACTCCCAGATGAGCTGTTGCTGCGTCTTTGTCTTCCTTCCCCCTTTGGGCTTAGAACTACCTACATGGCTCTAACAGCTCTCGAGATCTTCTTATTATTCGATACATTACCAACACAAACTACATTTATCTGCGAAACAGTCCATAAGCAAAGAAATATGGCTTGGCTGAAGCTGCTGCGCCACATGTTTATACAATGCGGTGTGATATTGGAGAGAAAAGACATTGATTAGCTCTGTAACCTAGTGAGCAGTCCCCATAAATTCAGTGAAATATGGGAGATTGACGGTTCACGATCTGTGCATATAGGTCCGTCTGGCCAGTCGACAATCCTCCACCGATTTGCTCAAGCCCAGACCGACATATGTACGCCAACTATTCATGGACCAGGGTGAAAAGACTCTGCAGGGTGGAACTTAGATCAAGGACTAGAGTTAGAACAAATGCATATTGATTAGTCGAGCTCACTGTGGAGTATATCTGCCTCAAGCGACAACTAATATAAAAGTATAAAGTCACTCGATTTCCTGAGAATGTAGAACCAAGTTGAGAAAATGCCTCAGGTATCTGAACAAGCCTGAGCCCTCTCGGTGTCAGAAGGTATACCGTTAAACAAGAGATCAATTAAGGCGCTAAAACATTTTGCAAGTAAGTCTCATGTGCCCAGCTCGTTCTTCTATGCCTCACAAATGTCGTACTCTAGTAGCTTCTCCTACTGTATCAGCTGAGCTCTGAGGTTTATTAGATATTCCCAACACCTGTATTCATCCCAATCACGAACCCATATTCGCGGAACTCTGGATGAAGAATTTCTGACAGGGAAGGTCCATGCCTTTTCACCCTACCATCGAGGTGCCTAAGCCACATAGCTCTATACAAAGCATTCTCCAGATATCTGAAAACAAGAAACCTCGCATCGCATCACAGTAATCGGAGCGTGGTCGTGAAGTAGTACTCTAGCCTGGGAATTATCACTGGGCCTAGCATGTAGCTGGGGTCGTTTACATCTGAAGGTTCATTTCTAGGTGCTTTACCTTCAACTCTGGCAACGATGAAAATTAGTCCCATTATATACTACAAAATACTATGCCATGGGCTTCGCTACATTTGGGTTGGCTAATTTTGAAGGGACAGGTACTGCCGAAAATAGGCACGAGTATATTTCGCGAAAGGCTGTCTTCCTTCTTGGATATGGTTGCTCAACGCACGGAAAAGAGAAACGTCTCCAGGCGCGAAAAGGCGTTTACAGAGATGCCAAAATGAATGAGGATTGATGAATGTATTGTGCGGTCTACCTATTAAAATATTGGTAGAGTAGAGGCGATTCTTCACGATTTCATATGTAGCCAGTTAGGGTACACTCTTACGTCCCTTTACTCTTTTGTTGTCTCAATGCATTGCTCAGGTACGGTAATGATCTTGTTAATTTCCACCAATTATGGCGCAAAAGGCGGTTAAATTACGGTATTTCGACATACCAGACCCACTGACGAAGATCATCCGAGGAATGTTGCCTACGTTGATTGTTTTCATGTGGTTGATTGTCTCCTTGCGCAGTCAACCATTCGACAAATTACCATGGCTGGTCCCAAACATCACCAGTTTAAAGATTATCCGGAGCCCAGAAAGGGGTGAGTGCGATTCTGGCCTTCTCTTGGCAATGAAGCGGGATATTAACAGTGCTCATCAACAGGCCCCAGCTGCCGCCTACTTATGACCGGAAGCCCAACCCAGCACTTCGCGGCGTCATCCTAAGTATTGGCGCATGGCTGTATGTTATTCCTAATAGAGACAGTGTCTGTGTATGTACTATAGCATATAAGCTAATCTTCGGATAGGCTGGACTGGCTGTGGTTCCTGCCGCAAGTAATCTGGTCGAACGCGGGTTTTGGGTCACTCCGGACGATCCGGTCCCACCTGGATTACACTGAGCCTCGCTATGACCCAACTGTTGTCCCTCTGAAAGGCAATTCTGGAGACAATACGGACGATTCTGTTGTGCCCACGGTATCCGCACCCCCCGTCAAATATCCTACTAAATACTACTCGGTCGCGGATTACCATGCGCTGTACAAATCGGGAGAGTTGACGCCGACTGCGGTCGTTAAGGGACTCCTCCCATTGATCCGACGCGATTTGTCCACCCCCGGTAAACATTCCATTGCATTTACTGACAGCCGGGTCGATTTGGTTCTTGCTGCAGCTGAGGAGTCTACTCGTCGTTACCAAGAAGGGCGACCGCTGGGCTTGTTCGACGGTGTTCCTGCCGCGGTGAAAGATGAGTTCGATCTCGATGGGTATCGAACTAAACTTGGCTCACTGAATGATTACACCCTTGAGCCAAAATCGGACGATCCGTCTATCACCAACTGGTGTATCAGACAGCTGGAGAAAGCTGGAGCGATTGTCGTGGGGAAGGTCTCGATGCATGAGTTCGGACTTGGTACGGATGCCTCACTGCATTGTCGTTGTATACTAACACAAGCTCAGATACTACTGGCAACAATATTCACTACGGCACTCCGCCAAACCCATACCACCCCGACTACTACACTGGCGGAAGTTCCTCTGGATGTGCATACGCCGTGAGCGCAGGCTTAGTACCCATCGCGCTAGGCACAGATGGTGGAGGAAGTGTCCGGATCCCATCGTCGTTCTGCTCTGTTGTGGGATTAAAGCCAACTCATAACCGACTTTCGCATTATCCAAGCGTCAACTATGCCAGTACCACTAGTGTGATTGGACCTCTCGCTGCAGACATTCGCTCTCTCGCTGAGGCGTATCACGTTTTCGCCACACCAGGTCCAGATACACCATTCCCCGCCCCAGGCCCTCTCTCACTGTCCCCGCCAACTACAAGGAAGAAGCTCCTCGGTATCCCAGAAGTATGGTTTTCCCGGTCGACTCCGGACGTCCAACGTCTCTGCCGTTCTCTCCTGGACAAGCTTGTCACCGAGAAAGATTACGCCATTGTTCCGGTCGACATCCCCTTCCTGGTCGAAGGCCAGACGGCCCACGCCATGACCATCTTGGCTGATGGTGCTGCTCTGCTCCCCGATACCACCAATATCACCGCTCCGAATCGCATTCTCCTGGCTCTGGGCCGTACTACTCCCGCTACTGATTACCTTCTCGCGCAGAAACTCCGTCGGCTTCTGATGGAGCACCTTGCTGCCCTTTGGGAAGAATTCCCTGGCATGATCATCGTGACCCCTACTACTGCGTGTGCTGGTTGGCCTGTTGTATCGAAGTCGGAGTTGAAATGGGGACTTAGTGATGGGGACCGCACACTGAAGGCCATGGAGTATGTGTGGCTGGCGAACTTTACTGGCATTCCTGCGATCAGTGTCCCAGCGGGATATGTGGATCCGGAGGGGGACAACAGTAACGAGGGGACGGTTCCTGTGGGGCTCATGGGGAATGGAGAATGGGGTAGCGAAGAGCAGTTGCTGCAGTGGGGATTGGAGGCCGAGGAACTCGGGGCGGACCTGCGTGAGAGGCCCCCAATCTGGGAGGATGTCATTCAGAGGGCCAAGTGGGTTGGTTCCAGCAGTGAAGCTCGAGAGACTGCCTGAAAGAGACAAAGATAGATTTTGGATCCTTCAATAAGACATTAGATACGCTGTAGGTATATGTTCGCATCACGAACGACAGTACACAATGAATAATACTGCGTTTCAATCGTCCTTGGTGACCCCCCTGTCAGGCTCTTCTACTCTATATCCTCGTCTCTCCTCCTTGGCTGTCCTCCATACGATCCCCGTCGTCCAGAGGACCAACGCAATCGAGCACCCGATCATCGCCCACATTCCCCGCGTGAACCGGGGTGCTAGATTCGCCGAATAGAAAATTATACTCCACCAGGCATTGACTGCGTTATTGCCCATATTCATACTGGCGATCACCACCGACCGCTGTCGTGCATCCTGCGATCGCATCGCATCGTTACACCAGGCGAAGAACGTCGCCTGGCATGCATACACAGCTCCGGCCCAGTAGTAAGCCCCGAACACGGTTGCTGTGGAGTCGAAGCGGGTCAGGATTAAGACGGAAGTAACAACACCGGTGATGCCGATGAAATAGCTGACGAGGTATCGCTTTCCTTGCAGGACATCGGTGAGCGTGGCCCAGAAGAGAGTCGAGACGATGCCAACTGCTGGGACACCGGTCGGATAGTTGTTTAACTGGGACACGGTATAGTGGATTGTTGGATGGGCTTTCATATACAATGCTAGAAGCGAGTTTGAGGAGAAGGATTCAGTCTCTCCCGCAATGACCCACAGGATGACGAATCCCCACCAGTACCATGTCGTGAAGAGTTGTTTGAGAAAGGCCCGGTTCACGGGTGCACGGTTAGCATTGACTGTTGGCAGACGTGACACCGCTAGCTCCTTTTCTGCTGCTGTGAGGTAGGGAGCTGTTGTGGTGGTTGGGGTGTCGGGGAATAATAGCAAGCCGTAGATGGCTATGGGGAAGGTGATCAAGCCATCGATCTGGTTGATGTTATCATCCTTTCGTGTCCTGGGATGCAAACCGAGGTACTTACGATGAAGAGCCATCGCCATCCTGATAGGCCTCTGACTCCATCCAGGGAAGAATGAATACCGGTTTGAATGAACCCGCCGAACATGGTTCCTGCGAGCCCCGACGCTGTAAATATGCCGCTGCGTTTGCCCAGTTCCCGCTCAGTATACCATGAACCGAGGATATAATGAGTCCCCGAGAAGGTGCTAGCTTCGGCAAGTCCAAGGAAGAAGCGAATGGCCATGATGCCCTGGGGATTATGTACAGCTGCGGTCACCATAGTCAAGGCACCCCAAAACAGGACCATCGCTGGGAAGAAGATCCGTGGGCGGAAGTATGTCAAGGCCAAGTTGGATGGGACCTGGCCTATAATGTACCCCACCGTAAAGACGGTATTGATCACATTGAGTTGATTGCCATGAAAGGCCAACTCCTCTTTCATACCCGAGACATATGCATTGGATAGGTTGGAGCGATCTAAGTAGTTGAAGAAATACGTCACGCAACAGAAGGATAGAATGAAGAAGTCAATCTTCACCACTAGCTTCTTTTCCGGGTCTTTGATTCCCCACATACTTGATCGGGGTAGAGATGAGAAAGATCACCCCGCGGTTATGCAGGGTCTGACCTTTATCTCATTCCTTTGGAAATGATGTCGATTGCAAGCAAGTATTTTTTTTTATATCGAAGTTGATTGGTGAATGGACGAAGGCGCTAGACCGCTTCTGATGGACGTTGGATAGTGCCTCAGGCTTGTATGTCACGCGGGGCACATGGAGCGTCACGGGTTACAACAAACCCTTGAACATTCAAGGATGGAACATAACGGTTTTAGGTTCGATAAACTCAACTGGGTCTGGAAAAGGTGACAGTGGGCGATGCAACTCCACTATGAGCATTATCTTCGACCCAATGATTGACTGGTCACAGTGAAAACTTTTTCATGTCATGCTCTTGGCATCAACACAGCCCCAGAAATGCTCACCGCTACAGGCAATCCACCACTGAGAGTCTGTCCATTGCCCTGCACCCTGCAGGCTTAGCTCGGGCTTGTATTCTGCCGGCAGAAAAGTAACACAACAGCGGTGACACATTGGCTCATCCCCTACATAAACATTTATCCCTCACATTCTGCCGTTTTGATCCAACGTTTTTGGGTTTCCAACCACCCATTGCAAGACACGTCAGGATGGTGCACGGCCTATCGGTGAATTTACAGCTCACATGCTCACCTGTACAAGCTTTGCTGCCTTTTGAGTAAACATGGGTCTGGTGGCAGACATCCACCTGGACGGCGCTCCTGGTGAGCGCCTAGATGTCAGCCCATGTATAGATGACCCTACAGTCCCGGGCTCTGAGGCCTGCGGACCTGAAGAAGAAGTTGATGAATTCAAAGACCGAAAGATGTCCTTCTACGATGAAAGAGGAGCCGCTCCTGCGACCCAGTTCAGCTTCTTCACATCGCAACTGGATTCGGTCATCCATTCGTCCACCATCCAGTCCCTGCGGTCGTTCTATAAACCCTTTGACACGCTGCTAGACACTACAGAGCATTCGGGGTTATGGTGGCTCGATGTAACTGTCCCGTCGGATGATGACATCGAAACACTCTCGCAGATCTTTGACGTCCATCCGCTGACCACTGAGGATATCAAAATGCGAGAGTCGCGAGAGAAGATCGAACTGTTCGGTCGGTATTACTTTCTTTCCCTGCAGCCGGCCCGGCAAGTTGAGGCAGTCGATGGCACTCGATCTTCCTCTCCGAACGTGTACGCTATCGTCTTCCGTGACGGTGTCCTCAGCTTCAACTTCGGCAACAGTCCTCACGGAGGTCATGTCCGAAATCGGATCAAGGAGCACCGGAGCCATCTAGCATTGACCAGTGACTGGATCTCATATGCCCTCATGTATGTTCACCTAACTGTGACTCAAATGTCGGTCTTCACATGCTAATTTTCCTAGCGATGATATCGTCGACGGCTTCGCGCCTTTCATCAATCGCGTCCAAGCCGGCGTTGAATTGATCGAAGACGATGTATCCATAACCCGGCCGGATGACATCGGTCTGGCACTTCAACGCATCCACCGATATCGCAAAGAGGTTTTGCAAATCCGCCAACTGATGAACGACAAGACCGACGTCATCCGCTGCTTCGATCGCCACTGCGGCTCGTTCGGTCCCTCAACCATGGATGTCACTCTGTATCTCGGCGACATCCGTGACCACGTGATTTCCATGATGGCCAATTTGTACAATGCGGAGCAGATGCTGTCGAGGGCACAGGAGAAATATCTGAGTCAGTTAGCGTTCGATTCAACGCGCATGCGAAATGACATTGCGGCAACTCTTAGCCGGCTGACGGTCATTGGCGGGATCATTATCCCGATGCAGTTTCTCATCGGTCTCTTTGGCATGAACGTAACCGTCCCGGGCCAGACTCCGGAGGACGAGGATTCGCCTCCAGTCAACTGGTGGTATGGTATCTTGGGGGTGATTTTGGGTTTGATCTTTACGGGTTTGATCGCTGCGAAGCGGCTCCGGTTTATTTAGATCTTCGCGCCTGTCTGCGTGCATGTGGAATTCAGTAATGTAGATCGTTTGTTATGGGATATATAGATATATGTATGTATATAAACATATTCAAACAATTAAGATGGACTGCTACATACATATCTAGGATTTGTATTGGCATCGTGAATCATATGTATTGCTGCAGTACTAATCGATCGATAGCTCGAATATTCCTCTAGGCACTTTCCCCCGGTTCTACCAATGTCTCAACACCTTGAAGTTTCATGATCCCATGCACAAGGGTGCACTAGTGCAAGTCTACACAGACTAAATTCGCTCCAACCGCCTTTTTCTTCACGATAGACCACCCAGATCACCTCAGCCATTATGCAGCGTTCGGTGTCGAGCTAACATTGGTCGAATCTCACTAGTTCTATCTGGAGCGATCGTTCGAGACCGGTCAAGTGATGATGAGGATTGCCGATCGGCGCCGTTGTTTGGATGACAGCTGTTATTCATACAAGGCCAAAGCGCTATCCAGACTGTAGATCTTGAGGGGAAACGTGGGAATCGGCCAACGATGTGACTTATCATTACCTCCTCCCTCAACGGTGGAAGTGAAGACAAAGCCCTAAATTGGTCTCCTTCCCCTGTTCCTCCAGTGCAAAGTGGGGTGTGTTCTCATTCCACTCTTTTTACGGAGAGGACGCTGATTTATCCAAAATACTGAAATGGAGTCTGGTATACTGAACGGCGTTCTTGCCTTATTCATCCTTCGCATCATCTATGAATATTACCGCGACCGTCGCCTTCCCCCTGGCCCAAGACGTCTACCCTTCATCGGCAATATCCACCAGGTGCCGCAGGTGCTGCCCTGGCGCACCTTCGATCAATGGAGCAAGAAATATGGCCCAATCATGAGCGCACAGTTCGGGCGACAGACCATTATACTCATTGCAGACGCCGCTATTGCCCGAGAGCTGCTCGATAAGCGAGGGAGTCTGTACAGCAATCGGCCCAAACTGGTAATGGCTGATGATAACCTCGTGAAGGGTATGCATATTCTGCTCCGGCAATACGATGACCGTTTCCGACTGCATCAGCGAATGGAAGCCCCTGTGCTTAGTCCGCGAGCGTCATCCACCTACTATCCAGTTCAGGACCTGGAGAGTAAGCAACTTCTGCATGAGCTTCTCTCGTCCAATAACTTCGCTCTCCATCTCGAGCGATATAGCATCAGCTTGCTTTACTCCTTGACATATGGATTCCGGGTAGAGACAGGGGATGAGCAAGATGTGGAAGACGCGCGTCGCATCCTGCATAACTTCGTATATGCGTCTCGTGTTGGAACCTGGGCTGTAGATGCTCTACCTATGCTCAATTCCTTGCCAAAGTTCCTGGCACCGTGGAAGCGGATCGGTGAGGAATTGTTCCAGATCGAGTCAAGCCTCCATATGCGGAACATGAAGAAAGGTCTCGATAGCCACGCATGGAACTGGTCTAAGGAGTTCTCGATCTCGAAGCAGGGGCAGTTGATGCCACCACTGGAGCTTGCGTACGATCTTGGCATCCTGACAGAGGCGGGTCTTGAGACCACCTCGACTGTCATGAAGATCTTCGTCCTTGCGACTGAAGTGTATCCGCGATTTATCGCTATAGCTCAACGCGAAATCGACCTCATAGTTGGTCCTGACCGTCTCCCAACATTATCAGACAAGGATAATTTGCCGTACATATGTGCGGTAGTGGAAGAGACTCTCCGATGGCGGTCCATTGTGCCCGGGGGCGTACCTCATGCTGCTAGGAAGGAGGACACCTACATGGGCTACCGTATCCCTAAGGACGCAACAATAGTTCCCTTACATTGGTCAATGAGCCTCAATGAACACGAGTTTGACAACCCGCTCGAGTTCCGCCCAGAGCGATGGCTAGCAGGGTCGGATAACGACCGATTCACCAACTTCTTCGGATACGGCCGGCGGATTTGCACTGGAAGGCATATTGCGCGGAATTCCTTATTCATGCTTGTGGCACGCATTCTCTGGGGCTTTGATATCAGACCACCTACTGGACCGGACGGCCAACCTAGAACCGTGGATGATATGGATTTCGACTCGGGGTTTGTATCTGCACCGGCGCCGTTTGAAGCAGTCTTTGAGCCGCGTAGTGAGCATGCTCGAGAGATTATTGAGAAGCAATGGGGATCTACAGAGAAGGATATCAATACTATCATGGATTCAATCAAGGAGAAGCAAAAGTCCATCGGACTTGATGTGCGGGGTTGATAGGTTTACACATGAAGCATTAGGATGTCGTAAATTATCTATAACCTTAGCAGGGCTAGAACTTCTTTAACGTTTGTCAACCCACTGTTATAATGTGAGTCATTACAGAGTTTTTTTTTCTTAGAATAGTTTGGTTTGGAAGAAGATTATCCCAGATTTATGCAGATATGATAGTCAGCAACAGCATGTGTGGGTGAATTTCGCGCATAATCATGCCCAACGGACATCATTTGCAAGAACTACCAGTCATCCCTTCTGTTTTCGGGAATAACCACATAAAACAAACATCAGGAACAGGAAGCTTCCCTAGAGTATATTGCCTTTCATTCACTAGCTATAACCGCGGTCGCATGGCCTTGAAATAGGCACCCACAGTCGTACAATGAACAGCCTTGCTCATGCCAAACCTCACTTCACAATCAGTTGAAAACGTTTCACATCACGATTACTATCATGACCAATACAAACGATATGTACCCGACATCAACCACCCTAATACAAACGATCGGTCTTCGAGAGATGTGCCAGGTCAACGGTCGTCACTTTAAACGAAGGAAGGGCACAGAGGAGTGGATCGAGGACGAGCCGGAAAACACTTCTCTGCCACCTATACAACCACAACCGTTGTATCTCTCTCTTGTCCACGAGAAACAGGGTCCAGATGAGCCTCTCCACTGGTCCCTCTTCGTGGCCCCCGAAAATGAGCCTGGATGGTTATATCAACTGACTGGTGATGCAGAACACATGACCTATGAGCCTTCTGATGGAAAAGTCGATATCACTAGCTCTGAGCCGTTTCTGACCTTGTATCAATTGGCTTCTCTGACAGAGGGCCAGGCGATGGTGGTAAAGGCTATTACCGATCACGAAACTCCCCCACATGCAGTTAATCGACGAGAAGTTAAGGAGAAGTGTCAGGGATGGGCGGTGCGTGTTCTTGGTAAATTGGTTGAAGAGGGTATTGTGTCAGCTTTCAAGCTTGATATGGCTAAATCAATGATGCAGCCTGTCTGAGAGGGAATGGATCAGGAGTGGAGCTAAACGGTCGCTCAAGGATGAGGAGAACGGTGCTGGATATGTGCCTGCTATATGTTCTGCATCGGCTAGTCTCTCGCCGTTTTGGGCGGTACGTATGTTCCACCTTTCTACAAGGGTAGCTCGTTCGTTTCTTATTCTCATCCAGGCAGTCAGAAAGTCCAACATTTCCAGATAATGGATTGACATTACACTATCGTAGGATAATGAGCAGCTCATATATGAAACCCATGGATTCGGCTGCCCTAGACTTGAGAAAACCTAGACTAGTACTTAGAACTAGATTGCGTTAACGAGCTGTAGTATGTCGAAGGTGAATAACGGTAAGATTCATTCAGCTATGTGTCATTATGGGTTCAAAGGAGCACATCATTTCAACTGAGGCATTGTCCTTCTCCAACGCCCCACCCAAAACAGACGACATACTTAACTGAACAGAGGCGTAAGAGAGATTCTGCCTTTTTAGTTCCAAAATGTTCGGATTCTCTACGTTTCATTTTCCTGCACGAGATGTTTTCCAGAAATCTCGCAACCCCTAGGTACATGGCCGAGTATCATTCATCCAGGATTGACTAACTACCGCAACCGCTTTATTCTTACTAATGTAACGCTTCAATGATGGTTCATTACAGAGTTGCGCCATTTTAGCCTACATGATTCTGAGATGGCGGCAGATTTGCACAAGGTTATGTCTCCACTTACTCTCTTCAACAATTCCTTCGGCACTCCGTATTATGTTCCTATCTTGCTATGCTTGACAAGTCACCGGAATAATGAAATACCATGGAAGAAGTAACAAGTGGACAGAGTTACCTTGGGGAATATCCGAAGACCGGAGAGCCTAGCTTCGCTTTGCAATCAACTATCGGCTATGTCTGCCGACAGCATGACACTAACGATGGGCGATAACAAGGACCCTCCGGGAATTTCGGGGTATCCTAATCAATAGGATTTAGCGATATGCTGACACTAATCATGAATGGAGTCAGCCAAGACGATTAGTACCTACTTGGCGTCGGGCTATTGCGACCAACGATAAGACTGCTATCAGACAACTAATTAAGAGTTGCCTATCTCAAGTATCGTGCTTGTGACTAATGCCAAACCCTTACTGTGATATAAAGAGGAAGATCGGCGCCATTCGAAATGAAGATGACAGACTTAATTCTCCTCCATGTTTCTTGGTACCCTCCTCTCGTTGGCGGCTGTCGTTACCGGCGCTGCCATCCCCAATGGCCAGACGCTTTCGCTCAATGAAATTCCTTACTACGTGAGCGGCATTCCTGTGTCCACTTTGCAAGGGCACGATGTCTCTGCATATCCTTCTTCTTTGGCAGAGGGTATAGACCTGGTGCCATTAACCGTCATTCGCGTAACTCCTAACACGAAGTTGGAGTCGCTGCTATCGGACTATGCCGAGCGCGATGATGTCTTCCAGACTGCTTTTCTACGTGCAGTCTATCTCACAGCGTCCACTGGTGATGCCATTGACTCCCAACTGAGCGGCTATGCGTCCATTCTCAAATCTTCTGGCACGGAATTGTTGCTGGTTGATTCGGATGTACACACAGCTTCAAATTCCACAGTCAAGGCCCAGTTAACCGAGGAGCTGCCGATTGGGCCGTATTTTGTCTCCCTGTATACCGGCGATGTGTTTAGAGCGTACCGGTTGTACCCTGACGACAACCTGGCTTTCATTCAAGCAGCAATCAGTGACGAGAAGGGAGGCGTCCTCCCCCTACCAGCGGTAACGGAAAATGCAATGACCAAAGATGTCGCTGTGCCGTCACGTCTCTATTATACACAAACTCCAGAAAAGCCATTGGCCGGTCTGAGACTGGGTGTCAAAGACATCTACCATGTTAAAGGTCTGAAGACGAGTGGTGGCAGTCGCTCCTACTATTACCTATACGGAACTCAAAATGACACTGCCCCATCCATTCAGAGGCTCTTGGACTTAGGCGCTGTATTTGTCGGTAAAACCGGGACTGTCCAGTTTGCTAATGGTGATCGGCCTACTGCGGACTGGGTGGATTTTCACTGTCCCTTTAACCCACGTGGAGATGGATATCAGGCACCTAGCGGCTCCTCCTCCGGTTCAGGTGTGGCTATTGCAGCGTATGACTGGTTGGATCTTGCTGTTGGTAGTGACACTGGCGGTTCAATGCGTTCACCAGCCGCAGTTCAAGGAATTTACGGCAACAGACCGTCTACTGGCGCTATCTCTCTGGATCACGTCTTGCCCCTCTCACCGGCCTTGGATACAGCGGGTGTCTTCGCAAGAAGTGCCTCACTATGGGCCCATACTGTGAAAGCTTGGTATCCTCATTTCCGGAGCAATTTTACGTCATACCCTCGGCAACTGCTGCTGGCCGGTGGTGGATGGGATGGTAAAGGCATCAGCCCCGAGGCCCATCAAGGTCTTACCACATTCGTACGGGGGCTTGAGGGATTCCTCGGAGCTAATCATACCATCGTCGATGTGTCGCAGCGATGGCTTGACACACAATCCCCTAGCACACCCACTCTGGAAGAGATGCTCAACCTGACCTATGCCACCCTTACTTCCGTTGATCAATTCAACCACCTAGCTGTTCCGCTCTTTGCTGACTATAAAGCCCTCCACCGCGGCCGCCAGCCTTTCATCAACCCTGGCCCATTAGCGCGTTGGCAGTGGGGTCAAGCCAATGGTGGGAACACTTCCTACGAGGCAGCTCTGCGCAACATGACTACTTTCCGGGACTGGTGGGAGAAGTCCGGGTATGGTCAGTCCGACCAGGCCTCTTGCTCCAAGACGCTCTTCGTCAGTGTGTACTCGGTCGGCACGACCGACTACCGTAACCAATACTATGATGCGCCCACTACACCACCACTGGGATTCTCCATCGGACGGATTGCGGTACTAGGTGGGGCACCTGAGGTTGTTGTCCCTGTGGGAGAGTCTCCATACAACAGTACTATCTCTTTGCAGACCGAGTATTTGCCGGTAAGTGTGGCACTGCAGATGGCGCGAGGGTGTGACCATGTCCTGGCTTCCTTGGTTGCAGGGCTCGAGAAGAAGGGTGTCCTCCGACCTGTGGGTACAGGCTCCCGGTTGTACTTTTAGTGAAGTGTGCGGGGATGAAGACCATGTGGAGTGACTAGGACAATGTACATACTAGGTAGAGCAGACGGATATATAACGAAGGGTAATGACAATTCGAAGTTACTGCGGACTAAGTATGGGATATGCGAAAGAAAGTTTCTGATAGACTGATAACTCAACATCATAGCAGCATGCAGAGAATCTCTTCATTTACAAATTATGTTCCACGATGATAAATATCCACACAGCAACTGCCACCAATGTCTTAACACGTCCAATGTTGCTGCCTGAGGCGGTTAACTGTACGCACCAATATTCCTCTGACCGCCTCCATTCCCGTGTTTGTTTCCCTCCATGCGATTTATTTGTTGAAGTCAACCGCCATTCGTCCTGTGGCCTGTCCCTTTCGCAGCTTCTCTACTGCTTCAGGTAGCCGGTCAATTGGATAGACTTCGCAAATTTGTTGAAGCTTCCCCCGCCGAGCAAAGTCCAACGCTGCCACCGTATCCTGTCGACTGCCCACCAAGGTCCCTTTGATTGTTAGATTCTTGAAGATGAAGGCATTGGGATCTCCCCCGATATTCATCGCACCAGTTGGACCCAGTCCGATACACATGACCACCGCTCCAATGCGATTGCCGACATATGATAACGCTGTTCGGTAGGCCGCAGGAGCTGTGACGAATACTCCGTGCGCCCCTACACCATCTGTTGCTTTAATCACAGCTGCGGCAGGATCGGACGTTTCCATGAAATCGACGAAGACTTCTGCGCCCATCTCCAAAGCCAATGCTCGCTTTGATTCCCCTGCGTCTACGACAACTGGACGCATACCCATCGCCTTAGCGAGCTGCACGCCCTGAATACCAACCCCACCGCCGCCGCCAGGAAATACAGCCCAGTGTCCCGGCTTCAGCCCGGATTCTGTCAGAGAGCGATAGATGGTGGATGCGCTGCACATAATAGGGGCTGCAATCTCATCAGGAACCCCATCAGGGATGGGCGATGCGTATCGGGCGGGAGAAACAATATATTGTTGATAGGTCCCTATTCCGTCAGTGACTGACGTCGCGAAACAATGCAATACGGCTATCAGGGGAAGGGAATAGTCCCCTACCAGGTGCCATCAAGCCAGCGTGGATAGCGGTTCGGCAATATGTCTCCTTATCTCCCCAGCACAATTCACACGCACCGCACGTATCGAGCAGTGGTTTGACGCCTGCCCGATCACCTAGCTTGAAGTTCTTCACATTTGCGCCAACCTTCACCACGATCCCAGCACCCTCGTGACCCGGAGAGCGAACGCCAAAAGTTGACATCGGCGGGGTTCCTAGGTCGCCTTGCATCATATGGAGGTCTGAGGAGCAGATACCGGTGATATTTAGGCGGATTAGTATGTCATCGGGTCCTGGAACAAAAGTTGTTACGAATGCGCTTCTACTGGCGCAGCATACGGCTTACCTGGCTCCGGGACCGGCACCATCTCGACTCTGACCTCGAAATTCGGACCTTCATTGACGACCACACCTGCCTTACAGTGGGAGGGGATTTCGTATTCGGGAGAGGGCATTTCACCAGGCATTTCCGCTGTAAATGGCGATATTCACCACGTGTTGTACGAACAAGATGCGATCGGATTATAGTAGCCTAGCACTACACAATTGGAGATATGGGAAGACATAGCGAGTACGGGAGCATATATACTTCACTGCTCAGCGGAATGTCGCCGCGATGTCCGAGTGCCCCGGCTTCCCCGCACAGTTGGGTGGAGTTCTCCATATTATGATATATCCGGATATCCGGACGCTACAGATCAATTGTGCGTTATTGTGCATGTCAAGTCGTGTTTAGTGTTTATACATTCACTCTAATGGCGTGACTACGAGGACTTGTGTCGGTGACTACGATGCCTGGAGAGCCGTCAAGATTCAACTTTTATTTCAACCGTCTCAAGGGGAACATCTACATCACAAAGGCTCGTCAACATATTCACAGTCATCCCAGTCAGTGGGGTATTACTCGTATATCCCCCACCAAACCGTATAGAAGATCAACAGCGACATTAGTATCGTCAGAATGCCTGCCCCCGCCCGATTAGCCGTGCTGGTAGTCATTCGACGGGTATGCGGTTGCGCATTTGCTGGCTTGATTCCACCACTAGGGTCTCCCTTGCTGGTACCCCCGTTGTCTGCTGTTAGCGGAGGATCTACACCCCCAACGAGGGTCGCTTGTATGACCTCCAGTGAAGACATCTGGACGCCCACATCATCACTCTCATCCCATTGGCCTGAAGTCCATTTCATACCGCAGGTCGAGTGATCGGAGCCCCCGGTGCATGTCCGCGCTGCCGCACTTGCTGAAGTGCGTAGCTTGGGCATCACTTGGTCAAAGATGAACGGAGCGACTTGAGCGGATGCTGCCATCCACCGGGCCAGGTACCCCTTGAACGACCGCTGATCAACTTGGCAAGTGTTGATGGGCTCACAGGCTCGTTCGTACAAGACATCATTATGAAAGTATACTTTCGTGGCGTCAAGGATGCGTTGCGTTCGTTCCTTCCAGATAGGATCGCCATCCGTCTGACTCGTTAGCCTGAGTTCTGGTTATCCTACAACAAGACATACGTACCAGGTTATACATGCTCGCGGCACCAAATAGATACACCCCGGAATTGTACGTCCACTGAAGGTAGTTGAACTCGGAACAATTCTTGAGTTCGTCTGCCCCATCCAAGAACAGATAATCATCGGTTATGAAGCCCACCGACTCCGTCCAGTCCCATGCTCGAATGGCCCAATCGGCGTATGTGTGGTTCCCTGTGTACCTTGCCAAGCGTGCGGCCAAATTGAAAAAGCAACCGTTGGCAATGGTGTTTTTGTAATGGTATCCGTTATTGAAGGTAAATATTTGCCACCTCAAACCTCCCCCGCACGTCTCAGGGCTCCATCGTGCGACCTGGGTGTTGAACACCGCTTGCACCATGGCTAACCACCCTGGCTGCCCTTCTGGTGGATTCGGAAAGTTTCGCTCGGCGGCGCTCATGGCTGCAAAGGCCCAGAAGGCCTGGTCGTCATTGCCTTCGGCGTGCGTCTGGTTGGCAGGCATAAACGTCGCATCGTCGCCTGCTTGAAAGGTCACAGCCTCCATGATCATGTCGTTCCACCTGTCGTCGCCCGTGTAATACCAGTAATCAATCAGAGAATTGAACATGGCGCCAGCTTCCCACCAATAATAAGGGGGAGGTAAGACGCCGGGTGTATCGCCTGCATATGTCGCGAACACGGGCCCAAGCCCGCCGCTTCTCGTCAATCTTCAAAAGTCCGTACTGTATAATAACGTAGATTCACTGTACCTGGATTCATGCCCGTGTAGTGAGAGAGCATGTTATTAGCGATCGCATAACTGGCCTGTTTCACCGATTCTGCTAGTGTTAGCAGCGTTCCAGCTCCACAGGGCCTGCAGCATCTTACCAGGATTATCTACATCCATATCTATAGCCTGGACGCTGGCAAGCAGCGCCAGGCTGAGACACCATGGTTTTCGCATTGTGAGTGGATTTTCAGAGAACAGACTTGACGGGCACGATCAATGGAAGAGCCTATTGAGTCCACCGACATTGTTATAATGGTCGGCCAACATTCCAGTGATGGGAATGCAGTGGTTGCGTGGAAACACTCGTTGAATGCCAATGCGATACTTGATGGAGCTGAGCCACCCACATGAAACCCGTCGAGCGTTCCAGACAATTTAATACAACACTTACCACTTCACAGGGTCAAATTCCATCCCCATTCCCGCCGAATGAGCCGAGGGGGTTCTTACAGATGTGGATCTATGCACAACATCAATTAATGAATACGGCAAGGCTACATTCCAGTACCACTTCCAAGCCACAACAACCTGGAACACCACGCGATGGGCGCCAATCTCCTGTCTAATGATGAGCAGTTACGCGGATAATGTCCGCCCCGCGCTCGGCTACTACATATGTCATTGCTTGAATATTCCCCGACGTTTCTAGGGGAAAGATGCTGGCATCGACCACTCTTAAATTGCGCGTGCCATGGACCTTCAGCTGGGGGTCCACTACTCCGCCCAGCTCTGCGGGCATCATGGCGCATGTGCCCACTGGATGGAAGTCGTGAAATAGACGATCTGTAACTACCTCCTTAGCCTTCTCCAGATCTGCCAGATCCACTGCCGCCTCAGGTACCCGAGCGCCGGGTTTGAGTAGCGAGCTAAAAGGCTCCGTACTAGCTATCCTGTCCAGGAACTGAGTGTGTCGGGCGAGGATTTCTAAATCTAAGGGGTGAGATAGATATTTGGGGTCGTAGACAGGCTTCTCGCCCGGGTTGGCCGATCGGATATGTATAGATCCACGCGAGAAGGGATGATTACGTAGGACCATGATGCTGATGTAGTTCTCGGGCAACGCCTTTGACAGCGCATAGATCATTGTATTTACCCCAGACTTTACATTAACTTGTGCATTGAGGAACATGTATTGTGCGGAGGCTGTCTGATCATCCTGGAGCATCTGTCGCAGGATGTTGTATTGTAGCTGCCGACCGCGCGAGACTTGTTCAGCCTGCAGGCTGTCCAGATACTTCGTCAACAGATCATCCACCCGCTCGCGTGGAATTTGTCCGTCGTGGTCAACAATTGGCAGATAGGCCACACTAACGGGCATGCCCGCCAAAGGACCAGCGCGTGTCTTTTCATCCAGCTTGACCAGAGACTGGATCACATTTGGATCCCGTGCGATATCTCCAGAGATTTGCCCCTCTGCCGCTTCGAAGTTAATAGTGGACATGCAATGATCCTGAAGATTCTCTCCGACTCCAGGTAGGTCGAGCACCACCGAGATATTGTGTTTTTGCAAGAGATCTGCGGCACCAATGCCAGACAGCTCCAGTAGCTGCGGGGAATTCAGACTTCCGGCACTGATAATAACTTCACGCGTGGCGGAGACCTCCAGTTGCTGACCATCTTTGGTCCGAATCTGAATCCCCGTAGCAGTGACCTGACCGTCGTCGGCTTTCGTCAGGGTCACTCGCTCTACCATGGTTTCAGTGAGCAGATGCAGGTTTTTGCGCTGGGCGACGTCCTGGGTGTAGTAAGTCCCAGCATATCCCCGTTGGCCTGTTTCCCTGTCAACTGACAGTGGCGGCGTAAACGGTCCCACGGTGCGGCCCGCGATCGGGTCTGCGTGAGTGTCCCAACCCAAGTGGGCAAATGTCTCATTCCAGGCCTGGTTGAACGGGGTATAGACATCAAGATGAGAGGTTGGGACTGGCCCTTGATTGCCCTGGTTCTCTGGCTTCATGTACTGGCCCAGGGAAAATAACGCACTGGTGGTCTCGCTGGGCGGCGTGTACGTATGGAATTTACGCAGATACGGAGCCATTGCATCAGGTCCCCACCCGTCGTTGCCGAGTGATTCCCATGCTGGGAAGTCACCGCGTGATGGATACGCCACCACAGAGAAATTCAAGGCCGAAGAGCTACCAACAATCCGGCCTCGTGGCTGGCCCATTTGACGATTGTTTACATGAACCTGGTGAGAGCGCTTGTCAGTAAGCGCCATGGCCCAGCCACGTCAAACACGACTGACCTGCGGCTCGGTCAAGTAGTCCCAGTCGAAATCCGGATCCCCGAACATGGCGCCTAGCAGGCCTGGGGTGTTGATGCGCGGGTCTCCCATATGATTAGGCCCGGCTTCGACAAGGAGAACAGTGGCAGTGCCATCTTCGCTGAGACGCGAGGCTAGCACTAGACCGCCAATTCCGGCGCCGACGATGATATAGTCGTATGGTTGTTCGCTGGCGATCATGGTTGAGGAGCGCTCTCTATTCTAGTACCAGACCTGGACTGGCAATTCAGAAACTGACGGACAGCTCTCTGAGTAACATGGGCCATTTTATAACTGCAAGAAACATGCACGAAACTTGGTTGCGTCGCTGGCAGACACTAGTCCAGCATAAGTAGAGGGTCTAATCAGATCAGCGGGATCCTGTCTTTTGTCGCCAGGAGAAGTCGATCCCCACCACCTGCCAGCGACCCAATGTCGATTAGTTCTAACGGCGGTATTTTATGATTGCACCGCATCGGGACGGGCGTCAGAGGACTCCGGGTGTTGAATTTATTCACTAGTGGCGCCACAGTCCTTACACGGAACTGACTCTATAGTGGCCTAGAGCCGTTTCCAGGGGTTCACGGAGTCTGAGATGAGAACAAAAAGAGTGAAGATGTGGGAGTGAGCCCAGCTTCTATAAGAATCTATGGATCGTCACGATCGGGTAGGTTCCGTAAGGGGCCACTGTTACCCCACAATTCATGAAAGCTCGGGAAATTGTGACAATCCAGTATGGGGCTGCGGCGTTGCACTGGATATCTGTATCTCGTCTTGGCTAATGCTACCCAACGACACTTTGGCAGGCAAAGAATGGCGTTGTCTATGGTAACAGAATTCCCTCAGGCACGCGGGTACTATCGGCAGGAGAGCCGATTCTTCACCATGGTTCCATCGCTCTATCGGCATCGTGACATACTCTATGTAGCGTCACCGACGATCTCTCGGGATGACCCGAACACGATGTAACCATGCAGTGCACCAACACTGTTGCTGGTAAGATTCGAGTGGATCGTGGTCGCTTTCCGAATGGGCTGTTCTGTTAACATGAGCTTCGAAAGTCGGAGATTGTTTGCCAAGGGGAGGGTGTCTTAAACCTTTACGGAGTATGTAAAACCAGCCCTTGCATATATTTCCTGGCTCGCACACTTCCGGGTGCTCGTCCATGATCCTCAACCGACCTACGGTATATAGGTTTCGCCCGGTAATATGCATCTCCGAGGTTTCCTCCCAGCGGTTGCGGTGCTGCCATTTGGCCTAGCTTCTGTCACCTCCCCTGGTGACACGGCTGTGATTCCTGGATGGCATCTGCAATCCGCCCTTCACGCATCGAGTAATCTGAATGAGCTCTCCCTTCCGACTGCTCAAAATGTTAGCTCCTGGTATCGAACCGGCGCCCGGGCTACTGTCATGGCAGGGCTGATTGAAAATGGTGTTTACAATGACACACACTTATTCTACTCCAATAATCTTGCAACGGTTGACCAGACTATTTTCCGCTCCCCGTGGCTATATCGCGAGGAGATCAGCCTTGTTACACCTCCGAAGGAACAGCATATATTCCTCGTCACTCACGGTATAACCTCCAAGGCGGACATTTACTTCAACGGAAAGCAAATTGCCTCCAATGCCACCCAACAGGGATCATACGGTGGCCATCGCTATGATATCACGCCGTTTGTGCAGACTGGAAAGAATGTCCTGCTGATCCAGGCTCATCCGACAAACTACCTCCGTGACTTTGCTCAGGGCTTTGTGGACTGGAACCCCTACCCGCCCGATAATGGAACGGGAGTCTGGCGGGATGTAGAACTCAAGCAGACCGGGCCGGTGTCGATGTCCTCGCCACGGATTCTAACGGACTTCATTGGAGTACATACCGAGAAAGTCACTGCCACCATTAACGTGGACATTGAAAACCACGAGGATCGTATTGTCAGTGGTGTTGTGCATGGTACCGTCCAGGTGAAAGACAATGCATCCCGCACGGTCGCGTTTTCTAAGGAATTCAAATTAGAACCACACAACAGCACGACTATCTCAGTGAATGTACTGCTGAAGAAACCCAAGATATGGTGGCCAGCCTCGTGGGGTAAACAGCCACTGTACACGGTTCAGGCCAAGACCACTGTCGGTCAGAATGATGTCTCAGATATCGCACCACCAACGCAGTTCGGAATTCGACACGTTACGTCAAGGGTTAACTCGTATAATGATACTGAGTTCAGCGTCAATGGATACCCGTTCCACGTGAGGGGAGGCGGTTATAGTCCGGACATGTTCCTCCGGTTCGACGTCGAGCATCTGCGGAAGATCTTCCGTTACATGCTGGACATGGGTCTGAATACGGTGCGTTTGGAAGGAAAACAAGAACATCCGGAATTGTATGAGCTTGCTGATCGCATGGGAATGATGGTGATATCGGGGTGGGAGTGCTGCGACAAATGGGAGGGATGGGACGTAAGTGGAACCCCTTACCTATATTAACTGCAATGGCTAACTGGTGCAGTACAATGATGAGGCGGACGGAGTCAAATGGACAGAGAAAGACTATCCGGTAGCCGAAGCTATAATGCTGCATGAAGCAAACATGATGCAGGCTCATCCCTCGATGCTGGCCTTCCTGGTTGGATCAGACTTCTGGCCCAACGAGAAGGCCACAGATGTGTATGTCAAAGCTCTGAATCGCATGGACTGGCCCAACCCGATCATTGCATCGGCAAGTAAGCGTGGCTATTCCAAGGTCCTGGGCCCGTCTGGCATGAAGATGGACGGGCCGTACGATTGGGTACCGCCCAATTACTGGTACCATGATAAGCTGGGGGCAGCATTTGGTTTCGGCTCAGAACAGGGGCCCGGCGTGGGAACACCCGAGCTGGGCAGTTTAAAGCAGTTCATGACTCACCAGGAATTGGAGAGTTTGTGGATGAAGCCGGAAGAGCCTCAGTGGCACATGGGTAAGAACGACTCACCTTTCGCACACCGCGCCCTGTACAACGAGGGACTTTTTGCGCGGTATGGGCCACCAACCGGATTGGAGGACTATCTTCGCAAATCGCAGATGATGGATTATGAAGCGACTCGAGCGGAATTCGAAGCATTCGCCATACGCCAGAATGCAAGTCGCCCGGCCACGGGGGTGGTTTACTGGATGTTGAACAGCGTCTGGCCCAATCTACATTGGCAGCTGTTTGATTATTACTTACGACCGGCGGGATCCTATTTCGGGACGAAGGTGGGTGGCCGTTTGGAACATGTCGCTTATGACTACGAAGCGCACACTGTGCATATCATCAATCATTCTCTGGACAAATTCGGAAAGCGTACTGTCACAGTGGACCTGATTGATCTCGATGGCAGATCTATGCACCATGAAAAGGTCGCTACATATACCACCCCAACAACATCGAAAAAGGTAACAACAGTACCGGACATAAAGAAGATCAAGGATGTTGGCTTCCTCAGATTAACCCTTCAGGACGCGCAGAAGGGCACCACGCTCAGCCGCAATGTCTATTGGCTCCCACCCAATACTGAGAGCCTGGACTGGGACAACTCTAACTTCTACACCACACCCGTCACTAAATATACCAATCTCACTGCATTGAACCAGATGCGTACCGCATCTGTGTCCGCAAGCATGAGGACGACCGCATCGAAACAGGGCTCAACGCTGGCCGAGGTGACGCTCGAGAATACGTCCGATGTGCCCGCCTTTTTTATGCATTTGACGATTACCGATGAGAAAGAACAGGAGCTGGCCCCGGTATACTGGTCTGATAATTATGTTACTCTTTTCCCGAAAGAAAAGCTCACGTTGACGGTGGAGTTTGAGGGAAAGAAATGGGTAGCTACGTTGACTGGTGCGAATGTGGAGAAGAGAGAAATCGGGCGGAGCTAGGCTATGATTGTGATGAGTAGAGTTGGGATAGACAGTGCCTGACCTTTTGGCTATTATCTCACTAGCAATTATATATCTGGCACCTATAGCTCAAATGCCCATATATACTCAGTGGATCAAATCAACTACATGTCAATAATAAACTTAGGGGTCAAAAGTCTGACTACACCCGCCATTTCGGCAAAAAATGCAATGAATTCAAACTCGATTTTCTCAACCAATTTAAATGATATCAATCTACAAGTTGATTATATGGATTCCCCATGTCAATACTTTGTATACCAGCCACGTGCTAGGCGTACAGCCTGAAGTCTGCGTGGCATAGAGCGAATAAGGCGATCTATGCACTCCTGAGGAATAGCCCACCAAGCAGCTTGAATACTCTCCCTAAATTGCGTCCAGTCAATCTGTGATCTGCCGCCTAGAAAGAGCTCTGGATAGAGCTCTAAAAGTTTCTTTTAAGCAGGTTCCAGAGGTGCTCAATAGGATTTAAATCAGGCGA